ATGCAATTTGTGACATTGAAGTTAGTGCTTTTCTAACTTCAGATATATAAAATTCCTGATCCAGCTTACCAATTGTTTACCAAAGTCAAGGATACTACAAGCTACTTACTCTGAATAATTTTACATTTTCATTTTTTTTGTATGGGTAGAAAAGCTAAAATTAAAATTAGAACGTAATAATAACATAGTGATTCAGAAAGAAGCCTCCTAAATTAAACATACTTAGGTTCAAATAATACCTCAGTTAAATACTTAGTGTGACTTCAGGCAAGTTACTTAACTTGCCAGTATAAGATGAGGATAATATTTCTGTCATAGGGATTTGTGAATGAGATAATGGGTTATAAATAAGAGTTAAATGAAGGTTGTCATTATTCCAATTTACTAGGCAGGCTGAATATGGCTGGAAAGTTGCAGGTTGCTCTTCACTTTTCTAGAATCTCCCTCATTTCCCCCTTCCCAATTCTCTTTTAATTTTGTCTTTCTAATCTGCTGTGAACCAAGATATTAGACATCCACCCTACCAACCTTTTTAGAATTGGGTCTAAAACTAGTTCTAAGTGAAGGCTTGCAAAGCTCCTGGGGGCAAAGTGCATAGATTTCTGCATGTTGACTGCTTAGAGGCCTTAACTTCTAGGTTCCCAGCTATGTCCCAAATAACAGAAGTCTGTTATATAAATAACCTCTAAGTGTTGTTTCTATTACATCACAATAAAATATTGAAAAAAGTTTCCCAAGTAATTATTTTGTTCATACCGTCCAGTAAAATCCCTTGGAATTTAGAAATGCTCTGTTAGATGATGGGAAAATCTAATGCACCAGAACCTAAGATCTGTCCTAAAAAATAACATGATACCTTGGTGTTTGTAAGTTATAAGCTATTGTGAGCTTAGAACAGTGATAATCAGACCCACAAATTTAAAACCTGTCTTTCACTTGTAAATAGCATTTCTTCAATACTTCTAATACTTCTGTAAAAGAATATTATGGAATAATAGATCTTTTGAATAGTTCAAGAGTTATAATCTCTTCTATCCATCAAGATATCTTAATCTTGTGTCCATAAACCTCTCTTTCCAACTTTTCATCCTATTCCATGGATGGATTCCACGTGTGCCAAATTCTGCATTTGTGTGTCCGTGTTTTGACACCTAAATAAAAGAATCTATGGGCCCACAGTGGCTATGTATCTTTCAATGAATGGTATCTTAAAATGTGGGTCCAGTCATAGTACAAGTACCACAGGGTTTTACTGTATTTTTTGTTAGACACTGATGAAGTAAACTTTAAATTTGAGGAAAACAAAATTTTTCAAAATGAGCACATACTGTCATTTTAAAATATAGCTCTTCATTCCTAAACTTTTCTCCAAAGTGTCAGATACTGCTGATTGTTTCCCAATATGTTCTCCCCTTTTTCCATAATGTTTGTTTTTGTTTTTTTCCTAGACTCACTGACACACAGCAAAATACTACCCTTTCCAATTTCCCTTGTACCCCTTATGGCCAAGTTCTGACCAGTGAGATCTATGTAATTTACAGGGCTTTCTTTACCCTTATCTTTCTCCTCTGTCTGCTGGCTGGAACCTTATTCATGGCTTACAACCGGGCTTGTGTAAGAGGGAAACAAATTTCTATCTTATTTAAGCCACTATTATTTTGGTCTCGAACAGTAGCTGATCTAATGACCCACTACAAAACTTTATTCCAAAAAAAAAAACTGAACGAATTGTCAGATATTTAAGTTCAGTGAGGATTTTAAGGCTCCTGGCAGTTTAGTTTTAGCCATTCTGCAACTTGATAGATAAATCAATACTTTAATTATGTTGTTCTCAACCAATATTAGGTAAATAATCAATAATGTAAAAATATAAGCTTGGGGGTGCCTGGGTGGTACAGTTGGTTAAACATCCAATTCTTGGTTTCGGCTCAGGTTATGATCTCAGGGTGGTAAGATCCAGCCCTGCGTTGGGCTCCATGCTCAGCGGGGAGTCTGCTTAAGAATCTCTCTCCCTTTCCACACCCACCCCCAGCTCTCCTTCCGCATGTGGGGGTCTCTTTCTTTCAAATGAATAAATAAATAAATAAATCTTTAAAAAATAAAATAAAAATATAAGCTTGATACTTTAGCAGTTTTGCTCTAATATCAGGACATTACAGCATTACATAAAATAATAATAGAGTAATTGTGATGGATTAAGTCTAGGGTATCTGAAATAGTAGGTCAAATAAATTTTACATTTTTTTTTTTTTTCTTTTTTCCTCAGAGCTAAACCTTGCAGCATTCCAATACTGGCCACAGGCAAATTCGGCTGCAGATTAAGGGATATATCCCATAATCAGAGCTCTCAGCACAGTGGGTATTTGCTGACTCTGGATCGATACTGGCTGACTCCCAAGCTTCAGAATATTCTTATACCTAGACCCTATATCCTCAACTATTCTAGAGGTATAGGACTAGTTTACATGTGATATCAGGCTTTGCTTTTTTTTTTTTTTTTAACTCAAAAAAATCGGTTCTAGCCCAAAGAGGTTAAAAATTGGTCGCAATTTGGGCGCCTGGGTGGCTCAGTCCTTAACTGTCTGCCTTCGGCTCAGGTCATGATCCCAGGGTCCTGGGATCGAGCCCCGCATCGGGCTCCCCGCTCAGCGGGAGGCCTGCTTCTCCCTCTCCCACTCCTCCTGCTTGTGTTCCCTCTCTCACTGTGTCTCTCTCTGTCAAATTAAAAAAAAAAAATTGGTAGCAATTTTCTAATGATATTTGGAACTATGTCTAGGAGGTCTTCTCACTGAATTTACAGGTGTTGAGAGGCTGAGGTCTTAGTGAGCCACAAATCTGCACCCACCTCCTCAGGATAAGATATTCAGAGATTAAGGTACTCATAGAATTGGTTAAACATCTATCTTTACACTGATCTGACTGGGGGAGAAAAAAAAAAAAAGTTATCTTTAAATCTTGACCTGGGAGTATTATTGTATTTCCTGAAATAATCTAAGGAAGACAAAATTTTACTTATATTGCAATATGGTGGGATTTCCTTCATTAGATTATACGCTCTATCAGGGATTTTAAGTGTTACATTGCCAGCACATAGGGAAGCTTTCAATGAATGAATGTAGAATTTGGTTCAGTGTATGCCTTGGGGTTCAATAGTTGTGACTTTTTTTTTTTAACCTTAAAAAAATTCTCCACTTACATATGTGAATGAATGACATTAATTTGGGGGGGCATTTAATTATTTTAGGTTTCTGTGTGACAGAACGTAGTTTGGCCAGTGGCTAATATTTAAATCCACAATCCCATTGCAATTAGAAGAGGGAATCCTGGAATCAAATCCCAGCAATGTTATTAACTCATGGTGTGATCCTGGGAAACTCAGTTTCCTCATTGGAAAACAAGGGAAATGTTTTCTATGAGCTCTGAAATTCTGATTTTAGTGCTCAGAATATAATAGGTTCTTAAAGCTTGTTGAATAAGTGATTCTATATTGCACTCAAGACCTCAAATTTAATTAGTAAAAGACTGAAACATTCCTCAAAAGCTTTTACTTTAAACAGCAAAAATTTCTGAAAACTATTTCTGGGTAAACATTCCAAACTTAGTAATTTTAGTCAAATATTTAATCAAATATGAGAAAATTTATTTTTGCATATCTGATCCATAAGCAGCAAGTCTACCCAATTCCTTACTTTCAACAATTTGCCCATATCATTAACAGCTTTTAATAGCTCAGCCTCAGAAATAAAAACAAAATATGAAAGTAATTATTGTATTTTTCACATTTAATTGGAAAACATTTTTTAAGTTTTATTACATTCCTGATATTCAACAGTTTTTGGTTTTCAAAATTGGCAATTCTATATGGTTCAAACTGAATATATTTAGTATTAAATACAATGTTTAAGAAATAACATGACAATAGGGGTTCCAATCCTCTCATTCTACCTTTTACTGGTATCATCTCCTACCTGTTAGGGGTGTCGCAGGTATTTTTCTAAAATTTCGTAATATTGTGTCTCTCTTCTACATAGCATTTGTAACTTGTGGTTTAAAAATAGTATAAATCATTGCATTTTGCCGAATATCCTAAAGGGCTGGTACGAATAATGGGAAGTTTTTATAGAAAGAATATCCTGATAGTTCCTTAATATTCCTTGATTATTTAGCTCTGTGCTTCACAAACTTTAACGTTCTTAACAAGCACTGGAGAACTTACTCAAACACAGGTTTCAGAGATTCTGATTCAGTAGACAGGGATAGGGCCATTAATTTGCCTTTCTTACAAACTCACATGTTGCTCGATCTTAAGCTCAGACTTTGAGAAACACTGACGCGGAGTACTGAAGAGACTTCTTTGTAACAAGGCCTCTTCCTTCTTTCGGTCTTTCAGTAAATAAAACTCAAGTGTGATGAAGTCCCTTAAGCCAGTTTGTAAAGGACTACATTCCCTTAGTTGTAAGGTAACTGTAAATTGGATTTGCTCTGACTTGGGTCTCTACAGCCCACAACTGCAGGGCCGCTAACTCCAAGGAACGTGTTCACCCATCCGGCCTCTAGCACCTGCGGGAGCGCGGGCTTGCCGGGCGGGCAAGGGTCGCCCCAGCCCCGCCGCTAGGCCAGGCTCGCTTCTTTGCAAGCGTTATCAGAGGCAGCGCTTCCAGCCTGACAAACTGCAGGAGGCTCCTGATAGAGAAGCGCAGGGCGCCAATCTAGGGGACCAAACCCGACCCGCCGCGGGCGGCCAACCCAACCCCATCCGCGAGTCTTCTCTCCGCCAGGGTCCTTCCTGGAGCCCACGGGGCCTAGCAGGGGCGACAGAGAGCCCTTGCAGGGGCGCAGCGGGCAGGTTCGGAGCCGCCGGAGAGCACGCAGCGAGTCTGCGCTCTGAGCCGCCACCTCCGAGCAGTGGCCGGATTGCCGCCTTACAGGGAGCCACTCGGCGCAAGGACCTACCCAGCGCCGGCTCGCTCTCGATCAGGGGAATTTCTACAGGTCCGCACTGAGGCCGGCGAGCTCGCCTACTCTTCTCGGCCCACTCGTCGTGCCCGGCTTGCGAAGATGTCCGCCAAGCCCGACGCCGGCTTCGCGAAAGAGGCTTCTCGCCAGATCCTGGCCGGTGGTTCCGCTGGTAAGGCCGCCCCGCCCCGCCCCGCCGCGGGCCAGTCGCTTTTCCCTTCCCTTTCGCGTGTCCCGAAAACTTTCCTCAGACGAGTCTCCCGCCCGAAGTTTCTCCTCCGAACTGCGCGCTGCAAACGCGGCGCCCGAGCCCGCCGAGTGCGAGAGCAAAGGAGGCCGGGAGCGGGCGGCGGACGCCGGGTGCCCCAGGTCAAGTGGCCGCCGCTCCCGGGTGCCCCGCCTCCCGTGTCCCTTGCCTGGAAAGCGAGCGAGGCAGCCCCAAGGCCTGCAACTTGGACGAGGCCTTTATGCCTCGCTGGTTTCGTACTTGAAACGATCCAGTTTCTGCCCAGACTTAGTATTGCTCTCAGTTGTAGCCTTCTTCTGGGTAATTCAGGTCTCACGTAAGTCCTGCCTCCCTCATTAAAGTACATCGGGATTCCGCAGGTCTTCTCCACGCAGGCTGTGTTTGCTTGGGGCTATTCGTGCCTTACATAGGCATACTAAAATTAAATGCATATGTTAACACGTATAAACACATTTGGTATAATCGGCTCACGTTGATTTGTGGAGAGTTATGCTGTGGGGAAAAAAACCTTCAGAAAAAATTTGTTAGAACTAATCGTGGAAATAGTTACTAAGTGTGGCTAGAGAAAGTTACTAACCCACGAGGTTATGTTGTGTGAATGTGTGTTAAAGATATTTTAAAACATAAATTATGAGTTAATTGAAAATTTTTCATAACTGATGCATTTTTATTTTAAATTTATAATTACTGTAATTCACTCATCACCATAAAACATTTTTATAAATGTAAATAGTCTCTTAATAAGTTATACTGTGGCAACTCTAGTAAATCATATTAAGAGAGTGATTAGGGGCGCCTGGGTGGCTCAGATGGTTAAGCGTCTGCCTTCAGCTCATGTCATAATCCCAGGATCGAGTCCCGCATCCGGCTCCTTACTCAGCGGGGACCCTGCTTCTCCCTCCCCTACTGCTCTCCTTGCTTGTACTCTCTCGCCCTGTTAAATAAATAAATAAGATCTTTAAAAAAGAGAGAGAGAGTGACTAGATGTCTAATGTTTAACATCGACTAGTAAAATTAATTTTCAAACAAACTTGGACTTTATATAAAGGCCTATTATAAATTGACTAGTTATCAGTATGTCATGAACTACTTGCCTCTCAGGAGTTGCACATACTGCCAGATGTATCAGTTACAGTCTGTATACTTTCCTAAAGATGATACTTCATTGATATGGCAATCAAGGTATTCATCTTTTATATGTGATTGTGTTTTGTCCATCCATAATTATGATGTTAGTAGCCCCACTGTCTACTTTTTTAGTTGTTTCTCAGTAGTGATGATGAATTTTCACCAATTTACTCACCATTTTGGCCAGTTTCACAATGTCCAAGACTCTACTAGCTGTCCTGATCAGTTGATTCAGAATCCATGACCCTGATCAAAGAAAACTTAGCTGTCCCAATAGGAGAATAAGGCTAATTGGTGAACATCCTAACCTATGACTAATGATTCAGAAGCATCTGTAATTGGCTTAGATGATCATACTCTATGCTAGACACAGCTAAATTCAAGGGATGTTAAGAGTAGATCAAACTATAATCGTACTTACACTGTTTTGTTGGATGATAAATATTTGGCACAAATATCATGTGTGATTCCATCATGTAACTAATGTGAATGAAAATTAGTATATTTCTAAGGTAAATTAAACATAATGTTGATTTATATAGTTAGTACCATGGAATTATTGATAAATGATGAGAATAATTTATACTTTCATCATAGTATAGAAAAACAGTCATGTTTTCTTCCACTTGGGCAATAACATTTTCATAAAATTTTATATTTATTGGACTTTAATAAACACAGACTAATCATATTACATATACTAGGTCAAGGGCCAAAAAGAAATTAATATACAAGAAAGGTAGAATTTTAATAAATATAGAAAATGCATTTGAATCTCTAGTGCTGGAGTTCTGACTACTGATAATGTCATCAAATGCAACACCCTCTGTGTGTATATGACCTTTGGAAGGTAAAGGTTAAAAATACATTCTGGCTTTCTTAAGGGGAAAAAAAAAAGCTGGGGAGGTTTATTGGAGAAATACCAGGGTTTCTCGTGGAATTCAAGGTCTTGATACCTTCCTGGAGGAGACTGGAATCAGGAGCTCAAGCACTGAGGGGAACTCAGGAAGTGAACTCTTGCCATCTCTTACCCTTCCTCACTTTGTGAAATGGTTAAGCATTTCCAAGGCAGCAGGGTGGTGGTTAATAATAGAGTCACAGGTAATCCTAATACAGTTGTTAGGACAGCTTGCCATACTTCCGTAGATTTGCCTGGTAACGAGTAAACATGCCCAAATGGATTCAGACAGCTAATTACTTATAAAGACAGGAAAAGCAAGTCATTATGGTGTCAGTTCCCTGTGTCCCTTATTCCACGGAGGACACCAAACTGAAGAGGCCAGATGATACACGGTATGAGCTGTGGGTCACTCTGCTGGTGAGGAGACACTTCAGAACCACATACACTGAAGGCTGCAGCTTTCCCTAAGTGGAAGTGAGGTGGAAAGTCTTGTGTTCAACTGAAACTAGGGAGATAGATGAGAAATGGCCTATGGCAGTCTTCCATGAGATAACGGGAGAAACCGCTTCTCAGCGCTTCCTCACCAGTCTGCTTATCTTCCCTTAGGGCAGAGGAAATCACAGGGCATTCTGCCAAGACTCGGCTCAGACTGTGGCCTAGCCCTACCTATAGGGTTATATGGAGATGTGCAAGGTTGTCAGCGTGCCAGGCTGTGGAGGTATTTCCCTGTGCCCTTCTGGTGCTTTCATCAGTCTTTTTGCTTACAATTGACTGCTGTTTGCTGCTCTTCCGTCCACGTGATGGAGTGTGGTTCCTAACAGCTCTTGAATTTACATGCTCTTGACTTCTGTTTTGTAGAGACAGTGAGAGACTGACTTCCTTTTTTTTTTTCAGTTCTTGAGTAAAATCATGGGAAAGACTCAAGATAACCCAATTTTGGACAGGGGCCCACTTCTGCCATCAATCAGTTGTAGCCACTGCCCATGTGGATGTGTGAGTGGGGCAGCATTGGGCATGGGGACTTCAATGGAGATTTATTTTCCAGAGAAGCCAGACACGTCATGAGATGGCCAGTAGATGTCTTCCATAATGAGAATAGGTCTGTCTTTCATTAAAATATGGTTTGTGATGTTTGTATTTAAAAGACCAAAGAGATTGACGCACTGACAGTTGCTTGATCAATATACATCTGAAGACTGGCCTTGAGCTTGTAGCTATAGCTAATATATAGTTATTGTTACCAGTGGCAACTTTGTTTTATATGATGAAAGCTATGCTCAAGACAAGTCAGTATGAATTGAAGTTTTACACAGTGGGCTTCTAGTCTGTATTTTCAGCTTCAGGTAATCACAAGATTCACATGAAAGAATAGAAGCCAATGATGAGAGCTTTAGGAAGATCAGCAAAGCCAAACACTGCAGGAGGGATAAGGATGTGAATGAGAAGGGGCCATCATATCACACCCTTTCATTTTTTGATGGTCGTGTAATATTCCATTATATATATATAATGTATATATAATATATACATATATAATATACATATATACACACACACCACATCTTCTTTATTCATTCTTCTGTTGATGGACATCTGGGCTCTTTCCATAGTTTGGCTATTGTGGACATTGATGCTATAAACATTAGGGTGCAGGTGCCCCTTCGGATCACTGCATTTGTATCTGTGGGGTAAATACCCAGTAGTACAATTGCTGGATCCTAGGGTAGCTCTATTTTCAACTTTTTGAGAAACCTCCATCTGTTTTCCAGAGTGGTTGTACCAGCTTGCATTCCCACCAACAGTGTAGGAGGGTTCGCTGTTCTCCATATCCTCCCCAACATCTGTGATTTCCTGACTTGTTAATTTTAGCCAATCTGACTGGTTTGAGTTGGTATCTCATTGTGGTTTTGATTTGAATTTCTCTGATGCCGAGTAATGTTGAACATTTTTTCATGTGTCTGTTGGCCATTTGTAGGTCTTCTTTGGAGAAATGTCTGTTCGTGTCTTCTGCCCATTTCTTTTTTTTTTTTTTCAAAGAATTTATTTATTTGAGAGAGAGAGAGAGCACATGAGAGGGGGGAGGGTCAGAGGGAGAAGCAGACTCCCTGCTGAGCAGGGAGCCCGATGCGGGACTCGATCCCAGGACTCCAGGATCATGACCTGAGCCGAAGGCAGTTGCTTAACCAACTGAGCCACCCAGGCGCCCCACTTCTGCCCATTTCTTGATCGGATTATTTATTATTTGAGTGTTGAGTTGGTAAGTTCTTTATAGATTTTGGATACTAGCCCTTTATCTGATAAGACATTTGCAAATACCTTCGGTTGTCTTTTGGTTTTGTCGACTGTTTCCTTTGCTATGCAAAAGTTTTTTATCTTGATGAAGTCCCAATAGTTCATTTTTGTCTTTGTTTCCCTTGCCTTTGGAGACATGTCTAGCAAGAAGTTGCTGTGGCCAAGGTCAAAGAGGTTGCTGCCTGTGTGCTCCTCTAGGATTTTGATGGATTCCTTTCTCTTGTTTAGGTCCTTCATCCATTTGGAGTCTGTTTTTGTGTATGGTGTAAGGAAATGGTCCAGTTTCATTCTTCTGCTTGTAGCTGTCTAATTTTCCCAGCACCATTTGTTGAAGAGACTGTCTTTTTTCCATTGGACATTCTTTCCTGCTTTGTCAAAGATTAGTTGACTATAGAGTTGAGGGTCCATTTCCAGGTTCTCTATTCTGTTGCATTGATCTTTGTGTCTGTGTTTGTGCCAGTACCATACTGTCTTGATGATTATAGGTTTATAATAGAGCTTGAAGTCTGGAATTGTGATGCCTCCAGCTTTGGTTTTCTTTTTCAACATTCTTCTGCTATTTGGGGTCTTTTCTGGTTCCATACAAATTTTAGGATTATTTGTT